TTGTGACTGTACTGAACACGTACAGACTTTTTCCTTGTCATTATTCCCTAAACAATATAGCATAACAACTACTTACATAGCATTTACACTGTATTAGATACTGTAACTAAGCCAGAGACGATTTAAAGTACGTGGGAGGATGTGCATGGGTTATATGCAAATACCACACCATTTTCTACATGGGACTTGAGTATACTCAGATTTTGGTATCCATGGGGGGTCCTGGAACCAATCCCCCACGATACTGAGGGAGGACTGTACCCAAAACATGCTTTTAAATTTTAACTCATCTATCTTTGGTCTTCAGATATTCTTTACCTAAGATGACATTTCTTCTCTCTGCCCATCTAAATCCTATCCATTCTTTAGGTTGGCAGTTAAGCCCTAATCCTACTCTGTGGCATCTCTCCTCATGCCAGGCAATACAATTTATGTCATTTTGAATTCTCAAGGTAATGTCTGTCTTCTGTGCTCTATTGGTACTTACCTTGTGTTTATTAGGCAATGGTACCATAGCTCGGTAAAAGAATATACAGTATACATCAACACTGCCACACTAAGCACCTGTCAAAATATCCCCAGTGAAAAGTATCTAGATTTTGAAGGCAATAAATCTGGGACTCAATCCTAGTTATTACCAGCTTTATCTGAGTCTACTTCATCATCTGTATGTAAGGATAGACCCACGTATTTTATAAGGTTCTAGAGTAAGGCTTAAATAAATAATAAACAAATAGGCATCTAAATAAACATCACAATTACCAACTGTGTTAAGTGTTACAAAGGAAAACTATCACAGTGCTATGAGAAAGGGAATCATGAGAAAGAGCCAGCTATATAAAGAAGAGGGGGAAAGAATATTCTAAGAAAGAACAGAAGGAGTAGAGAATTAAGAAAGTATCTGGTGCAATCAAGGGTGTGAAGAAGGCCTGTATGGTTAGAACTTAAGGAGCTAAGGAAAGAGTAGAGGGCATGCAGTAAAGCCACATGTGTCCTGCTGTGCTCAGTCACACAGGGCCTTGCTCCTATTAAAGGGTTTGGATTTTATTCAGAGTATATGTTTTAAATGGGAAACAATACAATCCAATCTTTGTATTTAAAAAGATTAATTTAGCTGACGAACAGAGAATTCTGTTGTTAGAGCCACTGAGTTGATTCTGACTCCTGGTGACCCTGTGTACAGCAGAGCGGAACCCTGCCTGGTCTTTTTGTGCGATCCTCTCACCTTCTGGTGCTATATCAGATAATGCTTGGCTGCTATTAACAGGGTTTTCATAGCCAGTTTTTTCAGAAGCGGGAGATCAGGGCTTTCTTCCTAGTCTTAGTCTGGAAGCTCTGCTAAAACTTGTCCACCATGGGTGACCCTGCTGGCATTTGAAATACTGGTGGCATAGTTTTCAGCATCACAGCAACACACAGATGCCACAGTATGGCAACTGATACACAAGTGGTGTGGTCCCCTGACTGGAAACGAACCCAGGCTGTAGTGGTAAGAGTGCCAAATCTTAACCACTAGACCACCAGGGCTGGCTGAACAGGGAATGGATTAAAGAAAACAGAGAAAGAAGTAAGGAGATTTGTTAGAGGCTATTAAGATAGTTCAGGTAAGAGATAATGGTGGCTTTGGTTAGGGTAGTGGCTGTGACATAGAGGTTCAGAAAGGGGAGTCGGGTCAGAGAGGACTCCTAGGCTTCTGGCTTAGGCATCAATGGAGATGTCATTTACTGAGACAGTAAAAGAATTGTTTCAGACATGCTCAATTTAAAAAATTACGAAGAAATCAAATAGGACACATAAGCCTGGTGTTCAGGAGATGTTCAGAAAGAAAATACATATACAGGAGTAATCAACATAAGGGTCTAATCTTGAAACATAGAAGATACCTACTAAATAGTAGCTATTAGAATAATGAAAAGTAGAATGCAAATTTGTGATACAAAAATGGCTCTATCAAGACTAGAATAAAGTTTTGAATACAACTAAAGAAAAAGCATCACTCAGAAAGGTTCAAGTAGAAGAAAAGTATTGAAATCACAAAAAAAGAACAAAAGAAAGAAAAACAGTACAAACACAGAAAAAGATAATCTGAAAGGGAGATTCCGGGGCCCCTTCACTAACCATCCTAGGAAAAGGGTAGCCCACCCTGGCCAGTGGCAAGGACATCCAGTGCATACAGGGATACATTAGGCTTAGTCAGGAGCCACCAAATATAAAAATGGTACAATTAACTGTCCTTGTTCTGATCTGTGCTCACCAAGCATGAGAGCAGTTCTTCCTTCTGTCAATCAGTATTTACCCCTTTATTGATAACTATTTTTCCCTGGGTCCCAGAACATTCTTTCCCGATAAACATTAACTAGAATGTCTGAATTTTGACCAATCTGAGTGAATTTTCTATCATGCTGTATCCTTTCACTATAAGGATCACTTCTTTTTAATTCAGGGAAGTTTTCTTGAAGGTATTATAATTTCAAATATTTATTCTCTTAATTTTTCTTTTCTCGGAAGTCTAATTATGTGTATGTTGCATATACATAATTGTCTGTCTTGCATTGGTAATATTTTCTCTCTAATCTTTTAAAATTCTCTTTATCTGTTTACTTTTCCTACTATATCCTCTACATCCCCTATTGATTTTTCTGCACTCTCTCTTCGCCTCTGCCTTCCAATTGAAGAAACTTGTCTGCCTTCTTCTTTCTTGGGTTCTGCGAGCTCAAAATTAATCTCTTCTGGTTGTTAAACCATCTCTTCCTACAGTTCTTACATTTCTGCTTTGTGGCCTTCTTTCAAAGAAGTGAATGCATAAACTGTTAAACATTAAGATCAAATTTTCATCTGATTTGTGCCAATGTTCTTTTGTGTGTGTACGTGTGTGTGTGACTAGCCTTTATCTGTTGCCAAACTTTGCCGTTTATTTCCACCTCTTCTTATTAATATCTTTGTATGATGCCAGACCAGTGACTTTTAGATTACTCATTACTAAATGAGTTGGATTTTGCTGGACTAGCTATTTGGCTAGACCAGAAAGTTTAGGGGCGCAGGGAGATGGAAGCACAGGTTATCTTTATAGTCTTTAAAACCAAAAGACTCACATTATCTGATGCTATCAAGACAGACTGCTTCACCCAAATGAGTCCTCTACTTCTCTAAACCAAACCATATCAAGGATGTCTTCTGTTCTAGCCTGCTCACTCCAATTCCCAAGAGGCTTGCCTTAAAGAAGGGATTCTTTTTTTTTGCTGAGGAAGATTCACCCTGAGCTAACATCTGTTGCCACTCTCTCTCTCTCCTTTTTGCTTGAGGAAGATTGGCCCTGAGCTAACATCTGTGCCAGTCTTCCTCTATTTTGTATGTGGGATGCTGCCTCAGCATGGCCTGATGAGTGGTGTAGGTCTGCACCCAGGATCTGAACCCGTGAACCTGGGCTGCTGAAGTGGAGTGCACCGAACCTAACCACTATGTCATGGGGCCAGCCCCAGGGATAATGTTTTTATACCTCAAAAACAAGCCCCTCACCTTTAGAAAGTGTACTTTTCTGTCATATTGCAAGTTCTGCCACCACTGAGCATTCCCAAAACTCCATGTTTTACTCTTCCCCTCTTTCCATGCGGCTTCCGTCAGATCTCAAGCTGCTAAGCAGCCTTTGCCTATATGTTGTTGTTCAGGCATTAACATCTGTCTTCTTAGTTTTGCTTAATGTGAGGCGGAGTTGTGTGGGTTGAAGTGTGTATGTATGTTTTATTTTACTTGTTGCATTTGTATGCTTTCTGGGGAGGTCAGGGAGCAGATACTGACTTACCTTTAATTATAACTAAATAGTGTATATTCCTAATAAACATATAAATGAAAGGCTTTCTAGAATACTAAGCAACCAGTGATTAACTTGGCTTCCGTATAGTATACCTACAGGGCAAGCATGGTTTGGCCAGAAGATAAAACCATGTGTGGTCCCCTGGCAGTTTTGTTTCTCACAGAAATTAATAAATTGGCATTCTGACTTCATATATTAGTCCCTATTTGTTTGGTTAACGTGAATTTACTCGGAATTTACCCCTTATGTAAATGAATTTACCCTTGTTCAGTTACTAAACCTAAAATGCTGAGGTTTACAAGACTGTACATATTATGAAATAGCAAGCAATGCCCAACAAACTTCTTTGATCAGCTAAAAAATGTACTGGGTTTTGTTACAAAAATAAATTTCACTCCAAGAAAATATTAATAAATGTAACAGTTGCCAAATTACAGAAAGTTTCACTTGGCTCCTGTAGTCCCATCACTTTTTCCTTTCTCATCTTGTGGTTTATGAACATTAACCAGTATGCTATGTATTCTTTTGGGTTGCTTTTTAAATTCCACTGAGGTTTTACTGGAGAAGTGGCTATGTTGCTACACACTAGAGTCTTCTACATGGTTAATATGGCATGACTTCAAATTTTCCATTACCACCTTCTTCCCCTAGGAACTCAGTAAGGTCATATCCATGATACCTCACTATCTAGAAACACATTATGTCTCAATCTTGTATTCGTCTCTTTATTTTAAACAGCAAGAAAGGCTATCAGAAACATATCTTAAACTTTGATATTAATAAATACAATCTAATTCAGAAGTTAGAAAAAACTGAGATGACCTAATTTTCTTTGGCAATATTACTATCTTTGCTGATGGTTTTTATTATTCTTTTGGATCACTGAGTTAGTAATAGGTATGTTAAAATGTATGTGTTTGGTTAGAGAACAGATTTAATAAAATACACACTTGAAAATTAATCCAAGTAATGGTGAAATACTCAACAGAGTTGGCAGATCTACGTTTCTACATCCTATTAAAAACCCTTTGGCCTGAATAGTGAATTAGATTCAGACTAAATAAACACCAGATTAATAAATAAGACCAAAACATAAAAAAGGTTAAGATTGGAAAGTTAAACATTATTAAGAATAATAATTCTAAAAACTGAAATAAACAATAAACATAGATAGCAAGAATTTTATTACCTTCAGGTCGATACTGTGCAACAATTGTCACAGCTTGGCCAGCATTTTTCAAAGTGGCCGCTGCTTGCTCATGGCTGGCAGTTCGGAGGTCAACACTGTTTACCTGTAAATCAAACCAAATCTTAAACTTGAAAGAAAATTATCACACTGATTAGAAATCACAACAGACTGCTCTTTGAGTAGGCATAGATAAAATTACTTTATCACTAAAATATTTTCTTGTTCTGATTTCTAAAAATATATCGTACAGTAAAATAAAATATTACCATCAATCAAAGCACTTTTATTCACTAAAAATACTTTGCTTAATGTCAAATGAGTAAAGCCAAAACATCTTCCTGCAGGTTTTCCGGAGGGCTGTCTATCAACCTCTTGAGAAACATACCTTATTTTGACAACCTGAAAAGTCAACAAGTGTCATCATTTTGTACATTGTCATTTCATGAGTAGCTCAAGCAAGAGGAAGGAAATTCATTTTGTTTGTAGTATTTTCTACTCTTGCCACATTTTCACTCCTATTACTCATTTCAGTTCCAATTCTCTTCCTTCCTTTCCCAAACTAAAGCTTCCATTCTTTTGGAGTAACAGGAAAGCAATTATTTAAAAGTATTAAAATAGCTCAGATTTCAAGAACAGACATTTCAACAGAGTAAATGATATTAAATGAGCAACGAGATCCTTTTTGAATAAAGGGCCCTTCCTTGGGTGAAATAATTACTGAGGGGATCAATCCCACTTCAGAAGAAGAAGCAACTTAATTCTTTTTCTGAAAGGCTGCCAATACCTAGTATATACTGCAAGGCACACTATCTTAAGAGACTGTACCTTTTTCACCATAAGAAAAACTTAATAGGACATTCACGGGAGCATTACACTTGAATGTAATAAGTTTTAAATATTTGGGTTTCCCCCTAGAAACAGCAATGGGTAGACTACAGCAATGTTTGGACCTTCACTGAATATTCTTGGAAAGGAAGGAGAACTGTCACGCCATTTTTATATGAAAGCTTGTTTTGTCGACATCTAATCTAAAACCTGTTAAAGATCACACACCAATTTTGGAAAATTTGACTATGAGCCCAGAAATTCTTGAGATCATAAAATTTACGTAAAAAACCATTTTAACCATGTAAAGACCTGATGTTTTATATCATCTATAAAGGATATCATTATGCAACTAAGCAGAAACACACATACTTCTTGAAGGAAAACCAAGACCCAAGAACCTTAATCTAAACAAATATAACAAAATGTCGTTTTATTAGAGAATATCTCTAGCTGAAGGCTATAAAAAACTCAACACAATGTATAAACAGTTCTACTTTGAACATAAAGAAAATCCTCCTAATTCCAAAGGAACAAATAAGGGAAGAAACATAAAAGGAAGATAAACTTTCACGGATTATTATAGAGAAGATTCTAATTTTTAATGAATTATTCCTGAGCATCAAATCCTTCTGCTGCAGAAAAGATCTGAAGACAACCTAAATAGATTCAAAAGAGAACAGTCTGTTAAGAAGACTACAAATTAAAAACTTTCCTAAATATCAGTGAACACTTTAATGGAAGATAGATTATCAAGGACGTTTTAGTAGAAATCCTTGTACTGCAAGACATATTTATGCAAATAGCCTTAGGGTCATATTTTTCTTTTAGACTAACACTTAAAAAAATGGAGGCGTAAGTTACATAAAGTTCACTTTTAAAGTGGACAATTCAGTGGTTTTTAGTGCATTCACAAGGATGTGCAACTATCACCATGATCTAATTCCAAAGCATTTTCATAACCCCTAAAAGAAACCCACCATCCATTAGCAGTCATTCTCCCCTTCCCTCTCTGCTTGGTCCCTGGCAACCATTAACCTACTTTCTGACTCAATGGATTTATCTATCACGTACATTTTAAATAAATGGGATACTATAATATGTGGCCATTTGTATTTGGCTTCTTTAACTTAGCCTTTAACATATAAATGAAAGGCTTTCTATAATACTAAGCAACCAGTGATTAACTTGGTTTCCATATAGTATACCTATAGGGCAAGCACATGTTGGCCAGAAGATAAAACCATGTGTGGTCTCCTGGGAGTTCATCCTTGTTGTAGCACATATCAGTACTTCATTACTTATTATGGCTGAATAATACTCCATTGTATGGCTATTCCACATTTTGTTTATCCACTTTGTTAATTAAATATATCCATAAATTTTTACTTCTTTTTGATACTATTGTAAATGGACTTTTTTTTTTTTTTTTTTTTTTTTTTGCTGAAGAAGATTTGCCCTGAGCTAACATCTTTGCCAATCTTCCTCTATTTAGCATGTGAGCTGCCACCACAGCATGGCCACTGACAAGTGGTGTAGGTCTGCGGCTGGGAATTGAACCTAGATGGCCAAAGCAAGTGTGCTGAACTTAACCACTAGGCCACCAGGGCTGGCCCTGGAATTGTTTTCTTAAATTCACTTTCAGGTTATTCAATGCCAGTATGCAGAAATACAACTGTTTCTTGTACAGTGATTCTCTGTCCTGCAAATTTGCTGAACTTGTTTATTAGCTGTAATAGTTTTATTGTTGGATTCCTAAGATTTTTTATATATAAGGTTATGGCATCTGCCATGTCATGTAGAGATAGTCTTCCTTCTTCCTTTTTAATCTGGAAGCTTTTTATTTCTTTTCTTGCCTAACTGTCCTGTCTAGAAACTCAAGGACAATGTTGAATAGAAGTGGCAAGAGTAGACACCTGGGTCTTGTTCCTAATCTTAGAGTGAAAGTTTTCAATGTTTCAGTGCCTAGTGTGATTTAAGCTATTAGTTTTTCATAGATACCCTTCATCAGGTTGAGGAAGCTTTCTTCCTAATTTCTTCAGTGTTTTTATGATGCAATGGGGCTGGTTTTCAACTAGTGCTTTTTCTGTGTCTGTTGAGATGATCATGTGGTTTATGTCCTTTACTCTGTTCAGTGTCTTACTTTGAGGGGTTTTTCTATGTTGAACCAACCAGGCATTCCTTGATAAATTCTACTTGGTTATGGTGTATAATCCATTTTCATGCTGCTGGATACGGTATAATATTTTGTTGGGGATTTTTATATCCATATTCATAAGGGTATTAACTTGTAGTTTTTTCTGATGATGTCCTTGTCTGGTTTGATATAACAATAATACTGGCCTTGCAGAATGAGTTGGGAAGTCTTCTTCATGCTTATCCCTTTTTGGGGAAGAGTTTGTGTAAATGACTAGTGTTAATTCTTCTTTAAACATTTGGCAGACTGCACCAGTGAGGCTATCTAGTCCTGGGCTTTTTCGTTTGTGGGATGTTTTGATTATCAATTCAATCCCTTTAACTGTTACAGCTCCTTTCAGATTTTTCCATTTCTTCGTGAGACAGTTTCAATAGTTATGTCTTTCTAGGGATTTACCAAAAATTATATAATATATACAACTATATGATATATTACAAATAATTTACAAAACACATGTATCATAAAATGTCCTTTGTCTTTAGTAATAAGTTTTGTTTTAAAGTCTACTTTGTCTGATACTAGTATAGCCACTCTAGATGTTTCTTGGTTACTGCTTGCACATAGTGTATCTTTTCCAACCTTTTACTTTCAATGTTTGCTGAAAGTAAACCACTGCATCTTTGAATCTTAAGTGTGTTTGCTGTAGACAACATATAGTTGGATCTTGTTTTCTAATCCATTCTGTCAGTATCAGTCTTTTAACTGGAGCACTTAATCCCTTTACACCCTTTTTTTTTAAAGATTTTATTTTTATCCCCAAAGCCCCGCCAGTACATAGTTGTGTATTTTTTTTAGTTGTGGGTGCTTCTAGTTGTGGCATGTGGGATGCCACCCCAGCACGGCCTGACAAGTGGTGCCATGTCTGCGCCCAGGATTTGAACTGGCGAAACCCTGGGCTGCCGAAGCAGAGGGCACGAAATGAACCACTTGGCCACAGGGCCAGCCCCCAAACCATTTACATTTAATGTAATTATGGAAAAAGCAATATGTATGTCATCTATATTGTTTTCTTTACACCTTATGTCTTTTTTGTTCCTCTATTATTCCATTACTAGTTTCTTTTATTAAATAGATATTTTCTAGTAAATCATTTTAATTCCCTTGTCATTTCTTTTGCTATATATATTTTATTTTCTTGGTGGGTTCTCTGGATTATAATTAACATTTTATAATGATCTACTTTGGATTAATACCAAATTAATTCAGTAGTATATAAAAACTCTGCTCCTATATAACTCTGTGTCCTCTACCCACCTTGTGATATTATTGTGATATAAATTACATCTTTATACAATGTGTGCATATCAACACAGATTTAAAATTATTGCTTTGTTGTCTTTTAAATCATGTAAGAGAAAAACAAATATTTACAAACAAAAAACACACTTATACTGTTTATGTTTATCTACGTAGTTCCCTTTAACAGTGCTCTCCATTTCTTCATGTGGATTTGGGTCACTTACTAGTGTCTTTTGATTTTAGTCTGAAGGATTTCCTTCAGTACTTCTTGCAGGGCAGGTTTACTAGAGACAAACTTCCTCAGCTTTGGTTTACCTGGGCATGTCTTAATTTGTCCTTCATTTCTGAAGGATAGCCTGGCTGGACATAGAATTGTTAGTCAATAGCTTTTTCCCCCAGAACTTTTCTTTTTCCCCCCAAAGATTGGCCCTGAGCAGACATCTGTTGCCAATCCCTCCCCCTCCTCCTCAAAGCCCCCCAGTACATAGTTTTATATTCTAGTTGTGGGTTCTTCTAGTTGTGGGATGTGGGATGCCACCTCAGCATGGCTTGACGAGTGGTGCTAGGTCTGTGCCCAGGATCTGAACACGCAAAGCCTGGGCTGGCGAAGTGGAGTGCGCGAACTTAACCACTCGACCATGGGGCCAGCTGCGCCCCGCCCGCCCAAGTTTTAATATGTCATCCCACCATGGTTTTTGAGGACAAATTAGGTGTTAATCTTATTGAAGATTCCCTGTACATAATGAATCATTTCCATCTTTCTGCTTTCAAGATTCTCTGTCTGTCTTTTGACAGTTTGATTATGATGAGTCTATGGTGTGGATTTCTTCAAGTTTATTCTA